AAAAAGTGATGTAAGGATCAGGATTTGAAATATATTTCCCAGTGCTGAGAAGCCATGCCAGCCAGAAGCATCATGCTAATGCAAATGCTTAAACCAAGGGACACAAAACTAAGTTTAAAGATGACAAAAAACACCCAGCACTGCCACATCCAGCAATCAGAGGTGCTTTTCCTAACACTAGACAAGCTATGCAAGGTGTTATGCAAGAAGCTTACTAATAGCTTAGACCCAGCTCTCGCAGATGGCATCCCCCTTGTGACAACCTTCCTCCTATGCATGGTGGGGTCCCAAGGGCATGTCACTGTGGATATCTCACTGTTTGGGACCTTTTTTAAGGTATTTTGCCTCTGGAGCACTGACAGAGTATTAGTTGATGGCTTTTAGATGCGGTGGATTTATCTAAGCGTAGCAGACAAAGCGCTAGAAGGCAGCTGGTGCTCAAGGTGAGAGGGGTGACAGGGGAGTTCACCCACAAGGAACAGGGGCCCATGTGCCACAGGGGACTTCTGGCCATTCTAGCAGCAACTGAAGTTATTTCTAAAATTGCGTGGAGGAGCTCTGAGAAAGTCCCTGCCAGCCCACAAAGCAGGGCAAGAAGATCAGACCAATAGGCTGTTTCTTATCTGGATGCAGTTGGGCTGCTGTTCAAATGCAGAAACAAGTGTCAGCAAGGCAGGCTAGTAGTTCTTATTTCCTACTACTGTCCTTTGAAGAGAGCAAGAACACCCTGAAGAACAAAATCTCCACATTAAAATCCTTACTGGAAAGGTAAGACTACCCAAAACCTCTTTGCACACACTCGAACACACCTCCAAGCAAGCCTCAGGTAAAGCAGCGAGTCCCCAGGCTCCTATGGGACAGTTTTTCCACTGTACAGAGCCATTTAGGGGCACGGAGGACGCTCCAGGAACTGAAGTTATAGGGTTATAATTTATAATAGGGTTATAGTTTAGAGAAAACGCAGAAAATCGGCCTCAGCTGCAGCCACAAGCCTCCTACCCGTCCTGAGCATCAGGGCACTCAGGAAAGTGCCTACACAGGAGCCCTGTGTGCCACTCCCACGTGCCACCATGGCGTGCAGGTTGCCATCACCCCTCAAAACTTCTCCCACCCAGAGCTCCACCATCCACCAAGTAAGGCACCCAGTGTACCCTGGTCTTCCTGCTGTCCAATTTTCTATCATCCACCATGTTCTCAAGTAGTTCAAACATGAGCTTAGATGCTTTCCAAAGGTGTCTTCTCCTCTGGAACCCATTTGACATAGGTTTGAATGAAGTCACACTTTTACCCAGCATGTTGTAAAGCTCATTTGTCCAGCCAGACTTGCCAAGAGCAGCACACCGAGCTTCCTCTAGGTGTAACAGCCTGACTATGGCCACTGGAGCACAGGAACTGGCCACCTTCACAGAATCTCACTGGCAACGTAAAAGATTTTCTCCCTATCAGCACAGCACATCTATTTCCTGACAGATGAGGGGAGAAGCTGCTTCATACTTCACCTCAGTCCTGAAATAAATAAAAAGCTAAAAACTACTGTCCTGCTTAAACCCATGAATTTTAAGAGCATAAAACCTTCCAAGTCAGTCCATGAATCCAGCTTGCTTCATATTCTGACAGTGGTCAATAGCAATTGCTTAAGGGTAAAAGCATACCTGCATGGAGGGATTCTTACCATACATATACTTCTTTCAGCTTCAGGCAATGAGTAGTTTGAAGACCTTTTACTTGACTCAACTGTACATTAAGCATAGATGGACCTATTCTCCATGATTTTAGCTGACCTCCCCTTCTTCCCCACAAAGCCCTTTCCAGCCTTCCCACCACCCTTACTGTCTTCTATAGTAATTATGCACTCTATCTCTGCAAGCACCATTCTCAGCTTTGCTGTTGCAGATGCTCAGGCACAGAACTGAGGTCAGAGCCAACAGCCATGGCTTGTCATGAGCAAACACAAATGGATCCAGGTCTCCTGACTCTCAGTGCAACACTCTTGTCATGGTCTCTGCTGCATTAGGAAATGGAAATCAAGCCCAGTGATAAAAAAAAGGAAGAAAAGATCTCTAAGGATGTAAAAAACCCAATACAACTAAAAAAGACCAAAACAAAACAGAAACTTGGAACTAAGGCACTTTGCTGCCCTAAGAGATAGGGCTTGGCTCATGTGATGAACATGGAGGGGGAAAGGTGTTTGTCAACTAAATATAGGAAACTGAGTACCTAAAAAGAGCAAAAGGAGCCTGAAGAACTCTTGGGAAACCATGCCGGGGGGTTGAGCCATTTAAAACTGAGAAGTTTTGTTGAAGCTGATGCTCAGGGACCAGCCTGCTATCTGCACAAAGCAGTGGGAGTGAGCAACGGGAATCGGCACAGCTGCTCTGTGCCTGACGTATCAAACCGGGGTGGAAATCCCACCATATGACTTTGGGGATAATGTTAAATCCATTACAGCATTCTCCCCTCCCCTGCTCATCCCACACAAGCTTCAAAACTTCTGGTTTATGACTGGCTGCTAGAGGATCATTGCAGGCTGTCTCTGGAGGGATAATCCTAAATTTTAAGTGACAGTTCATGGCCATCTTCTCTTTCTTCTGAAATGCTGTCTTACACAGTGCATTAAGTGTTTCAGAGATTAATAACTGGAGCAAAGAGTTCTAATCTCAGTGTCCTAACGGAGATTTAGCAAAGAACAGTTAGTGTTTGAAGTTGCTATGGCACAGGAAACATAAGAAGCCTTGAAGACCAAAAGCAAGGCTCATATACAGCTCAAACGGAAATCTGGGACATTAAACACGTGATCTATGTTTAGTCTCCAGGGCTTCTCACTGACGTGGTGTTTCCACTCGGAGCAGGTCTTAGGGACCCCGTGAAAGGTGGAACCCAGTTTGAGCTCTCCTTTAGATTAAGTAGACCAAGCTCACCAAGCTTGTTAAGTTGCAACTTGTACTTTTTGTATTCTTTGACCTGAATTAGGTGATAACTGCATTGTATAATAAGGTTACAGGTTGCTTTGAACTTAATATACAGAGGACCAAATGGAAACCACTTGACTATCTCTGAACTGGCAATTTGTCAGCTCACAGGAGATCCACCAGGATAAACATGCTACAGATTCTGAGGCTGCCTGTACAGCAGCACACTCAACAGCAGCCCTACAACCACCTGGCAAAGGCCCTCACAGTGTCAGTTCAAGTTTCTTGTCCAGAGAATGATCTCTTTTATTTCAGTAAACAATTTTCTCATCATAACAATTCCTCCTACTGCTCCTCACACAACCAGAAGTCCCATTAAAAAGGAGCCAAACAGGTGCATTACTGGCCTGCTCCCCTCTCAGGTGGCATAAGCCACAGAAGAAATTGTGCAAACCCCTTCTGGGTTTGGTGAACACTGATTATATGAAAACACACCAAATTCTGCATATGGGTATGAGAAAACCTTGTCACAAGTGTCACAGTGGTGGAGCTCTACAAGGACTCTGACCAACACTACTGTCAAAAATAACACCACTGTGTCCTCCTACCCTCATCACCATGCCCTCTTTCCATTTTTCTCCTGCCAGCACCAATGCTCATTTAGCACCACAGCAAATTGTATCAGGGAACTGAATTTAAATGGTAACATTAATCCTGTTTCGCAAGGTTCACGCTTTTCATGGTGCTACTCCAAGCAACTGAATGCCCACCAGCACACTCAGAACAGCCTGTGACTGTGATCATGTTGTCCAAGTTCCTTACTTACTCTAGCTATTGTGGGGATAAAGTAACAAATTAATGGCTAATGTTGAGAAGATTATGAAATTATGCTTCCTTGAAGCTGTTTATGCAGCTGATCTGTACAGAATTAGGCAGCTCTGCTTTGAATTAATGCAAGTGAAGTGGCTGGCACAATTTGGCCAAACATTTAAAAGTAATATAACCATCCATAACAGATACCCTTTTAGACCTTCATTCTGGGACAGTTTTACGCACAAGACCCTCTTATCTATTTAGCAACCAACACCACGTAGGAGAACAAATTTCTGTATCTTGAGTACCCACTCTGCCATGATAGCTAAAGATGCGTCAGAAAGGGGTCAAATAGCAATGGGACATCATATACTCCAGGTCACTGACAAGAACAAGATCAGAAAAGACACCTAGGTGGGGTGTGACTTTGCCATGTTTCAGCACAGCACGTTCTTCCACATTCTTTACCACCTATAGAATTGCCTTAATGGTCTTGCAAATTAGTATGCTCCAGGCAGATAGGGATAGGATCAATAGTCCAAACTTGAGGTTACCTTAAGGCAACAAGCTCTCTTCTCCTCCTCCTCCCCTGCTCAGCAGCCTGTTAGGACCCTGTCAAAAGTCACCAAGACTTGTACCCCACCTGAGAGTGGCCAGTGCTGGGCACCGCAGGAGCAGGTCTGTAACAACACTTCCCTCATACAGTTGTGGAGGAATATGCCACGGCAAGACCTCCTACACACAGGTGTCAAGACCTCCGTGCTTGATAGCAGATTTTCCTGATTTTAAATCATAGAACTGGGTAATACTTTTTGAATCCAGAAATGTTGCCATCCTGTGGCAACACACTCCTCACTTCTGCATCAACAAGCACCTCATGTCCTTTGTTTTGAATCTGCCAGATGACAAATTACGTTGATGCTCTGCGGCCCCTGGGGCCAGTAAGCCACCATCTCCTCACCTTCTTTATACTAGTCTGATATTTTCTCCATAGCCTTACCTTTTCCAGCCTAACAGTTTACGGCTTTTGCCAATGTAATGGAGTGTGCTTACATTTCAGTTCAGCATTTAGTATTGATTATTTTTTTGGGAAAGCAATAGCAAGTTGTTCAGTGCAGCACCTGAATCCCCAATCAGAATTAAGCTAGAGTATGTTGTGCAGCAGGACATGGGCCTGGCTGCAAACCTGCATTTTTCAGCAAGGCACAACCAATTAAATATATCCTTATTGCTGTACTCTTTAAAGAGGTCAATCATTGAAACACATAAGTTAGTGGCAAAGCAAAAAGTTCATTTTATTGCTAAAACAACTTTTGATAAAAAAGCCCCATCAGTCAAGAGCTGCCTTACTCAGCCACACTCCTGTAAAAGCACTTAAGGACTGCACAAGATTTGGCAGTCACTCCTTCAGGACTGAGCTTTACAGAGGGTTCTGTCTTTACAGCTCAGCAGTGCTTTCATTGACCAGGTCTCCAGTTCCACCCAAGACATAATAATATCACTGATATAAACAAAATCAGAAACTATCTGAAATCCTACTGCTTGTTCTGCGGTGGTTTAGCAGAAAGCGTGTCTCAGGAAGGAAATTAAACAAGAGGGGAGTGCAGGAGGCCCCAGAGGACAGGCGGGGGTCAGCCCCTGACCTCAGCACCACCTCCCGCCACCAGCTGCCGCCCGAGGGAGACGCCTGCTGGGCTGAGCCGCTCAGCACAAGCCCTGGCCCAGCCCTACAAACCCAGCACACATTAATTAAATTTAAAAAAGCTGTAAAACATACTCTCAAAAGCTCCTCAGCCTTACTATGGAAGTTTATAAGACGATGGTTTTCTCTGGAGCACACTTCCGTTGTGCTCCTCCTTGCAGTTGCACGCGCCCGTGCTGGCACCAGCAGCACGAAGCCTCGTGGGTGCTACGACCAGGCCAGCGGCCGCCCCAGCACAACTCATCCTCCTGGCTCAAGTGACTGGATGAGGTGCTTGGTGCTCTCTGAAAGCCAGCAAGGCTAAGCTGAGGCCTGTGCTCCATGCACAGCCCATTCTGCACACCAATCATTCTTGTTTTCTCTGCACTGCTCTCCCCATCTGAGGGTCTGTGCTGAAGGTGCGGCACTACGCCTGCTCACAAGGATTGCCTGCGCTGGATGCCAGCGCTCTGCTGGGTGCTAATGCCTCTGCTGTCCGTGGCGCCTGCTTTGGAAGGCGAATAGGGACATAGACATTTGAAGCACAGTGTTCCTTGAGGTATTCTCCCCCTTTTTCTTCATAGTCTTTTCTGGTTATCCAGCCTTCCTCACGGGCCATGTATTCCACTGCCCAATCCCTAGCCCCATACCAGGCATCTAGAACAGGACTGGAAGCAAGGTGAACCTGGATGGAAGGAAAATAGAACAACAACATCAATTCAAGACAGGAAAGGAAAGCCATTTTTACCCTCATTACAGTGGTACATGACACAAAAAACTGAATTTCAGAAGTCTGAGCTGATTATTCAGTGGGGAAGAGTAATGTTAGGAATGGGTTTGAAGCGTGTTTTCACCTTGAGATCAACTCTCAGTGAACCTGCTTTTGTTTCTAGAGGTTGAGAAAGCACATGGGTGTGCCACATTCACAACCAAGAGCCCTCACAGCTGGAAGCCAATGCTGGAAGAGTTGGTGATACATACTGCAAAACAAGTATCAAGTGCTCCAATTAAACTTCCTCCCTGCTTGAAGTAGCAGGGAGGAATACTGCAGGCTAAAAAAATTGCAGCGTGTGGGGAAAAAAACACTCCTATTACTCTAGCATGAACTGCTTTCCTGGTTCAGCTATGGGCTCACCAGTCTAGACACCATGTAAATCCCACGTGCGATATCTGTGAAGTGACATGGACCGTATTTTAATGGAAAGAAAGGTCTTATCCAGTTACAAGCCACAGCATTACCATCAGAAGAAAACACGCTCATTTTCTTCTCACAGACACAAGTTACACACTCAAAACTTTGCAAGCAATATCCTTCCTAAAACTACCAAGTATATATAACTAAGTTTCTGTCAGTCACACCTGGCTCAGAGCTACATACAGTACCTGCACAAAACAAAGGCTGCGGAATCACAAGATTATACTTGCATTGCTTTTTCTTTTCTCCCCAAGGTTACCACCTGATTTTCTAGAAGACAGTAGATTTGAAGAGACAAGGTGGTTTCTGAACAGCAAAGGAGACCCTTGCAACTCTTGTTACAAAATGCACAGACGACTCTGGGACTTGCCCAGCTTGTACTGTGCTCGCTACTGAAAAGGTTGCAAAGGATCACAGATACTGAATCTCTTTTGCTGCTGTCCCAGACAGTCATTACATGTAACAAATTGAACACGTCACTTTTTTTGGTGACATTTTGAAGAAAACAGTTTCTCTCAGCAACTACTTCTAACTACTCCTAACAGAAGTCACTTGTTCCAGATAGCAACTGTCCCAATCGTAAGAAAACAACCTGCAAATTTCTAGCTAAACATGCTTGTGTGTGCATGGTGTTTTAGCTGAAGGAGGTTTTCCCTTTCCAAAGCATCTACCCTACTCTCTCTAATGTCTTCATAAAGAACAACTGTATCTGTAACTTTCATCTTCTCAGGTCAGAAAAGCTGTTTGCAGTGTCTTGTCATAAACCACTCTCCATTCCCACGCTCTAAGTACACCTGCTCTGTACCTCTCCCAAACTCAAATTACTTTTGAGCGCAGACGAACAGGCTGTTCATGCAGATATCATGTCAATACAGGTACCTGAAAAGATGACTGGAACGGCCTCATTTCAAGGAGCTCCTTCTGGACTCTGGCTTTCAGTCCAGGGTACATTGTATTTCCACCAGTGAGAAAAACATTCTGGACAAGAATAGCTTGTTGTTCCTTTGGATACCTACCAGGAACAAAAAACAATTTCAGTCTTCCTCAAGGACATCTGTCCTATGAACTGAACTACTATGGGCAATACTGACACCTTGTCTTCAGGATTCACTTTGAGAAACCTTCCTCACTTTCCTAGTATGAAAACCTGAGGTCATTTTTCTGAAAAATCAAGGGGTGGTAGAAGAAAATCCTTAAAGCACTCTGTGCACTGCACCCCATAAATCAACAATTTAATTCTTAAATTCTTAAATTTAATAAAATGCAATCTCATACATTCAAACAATTCAGGGGTGACATTTCCTTAATGCTAAGTTGTCTGGAAACAGTTGTCCAACAAGTGTGCCTATACTATAACAAAAATGTCACCCCTGATTTAGGTCTTGCAAAACCAGAGACTGTCAGCTCACTGTTTCATGGAATAGATATTCATAAGTGTTTGTTGTTTCTCTCTATAACAAGTTGGACCAGGGCTCTCCAAAGCGTAGTGTGTGCAAGACAATCCATTGGGGTGCAGGGAGAAGATATTTTTTCTACCATTAATAAATAAATCAATCAAACAGGGGTTATTTAACCTTCATCTCATCCTTTTTTAATTTCTATTTTTGTGTAGGTTTAAAAATGTAATATATCAGTTTAGTAGTTCCTGTATTTAACTTATGAATATTGGAGCTGTGTGCTCAAAAATTTTTTACTGATGGGTTAATCAATCAAAAAAGTTTGGAGACCACTGACTTAAAACAAGGAAAGTTACAGATGGTTTACAGAACAGGAAGACACGTCTAACCTGAAATGCTCAACCCCACCAGAAAGAACTATTCAAACATATTTTCTCAAATTATTGTTAAGTAACCAGTATTGCAAAAGCTGGTATCAAAACAAGGTTAGCTTCTTTGAAGTAACTGCCAAGTAGCTTTGTAAACTCACCTCTCGAGGACATATTGCATGGTTTCTGCTATACCAGCCTGGTCTTCTCCTATCAGTGAGGGCTGGAAGACAATCTCTGGAGCCCTGATTCTTTCAGTGCCAAGGAAAAGCTGGTGGTACTCTGCCAGGTTAAACACGGGCTTTAAAAAGATGAGATTGAAAAGTGGTGGGAAATTATGTTAAAGAACAGTAATGTTCTAGAACATGCAAGGTTTGCAAACAATTCTGTACAAAAAAACAGGTTGTAATGTTTTCACAGAGAAAGGTTCCAAAAGGCCAAGGAAGATGGGAGTTTTCCTATATGTTGTTCTGTGTGGTATCACACAATCCTGAGGCTCATCCTCACAAGTTGAAAATTTGTGTCCACTGGGATGTGATATTAGGCTACGGGTGACACACAAAAAAATTTGAGGACATTTTTCCCTAATAACATGGCACTGCTACAACAGGCACTGCCTGCAGAGTGAGCCAAGTGGGTATATTCATGTTCTAAAGCATCAGCTAAGATTGCAAGAGGACTTCTCTCTTAATGTCCTGTTCAGACAGTTTAAGTATCTCTTCCAAGAGCAGGCAAACATTCACATGTGGAAAAATCATAGCAGCAACCTCTGGCACAAGGTGGAGATACAGAAATCAAACCTGCACTGCAGCAACAGGCTTCTCAACTTCATGCTGTTCCTCAGCAAATAAAGGTTCAAACTCATTAATACTTTCCACATCCTCCAGTGACTGTTCACTGCCTAATGGATCCAAATCAGGAGTCTGGAAACATAGAAGGTGTATTATGGTCAGTTAGCTCGGTGCTAGGTACACATATGACTTCAATTCTGGTGACACATTTGGAAAATTCAACACCCATCTCCTCAAATCTCAACTTTTTAACATGCCTGAAACCAAGCATGCTGTTCTCCAGCACTGAAGACAAAAGTCAGAATGGTGAACAACACAAAACAGAAGACAGGCATTCACTCAAAGCATGAAAATGAAACACTTTCAATAAATTTATCATGACGCCAGCTCAGATATTAAAGGCCTTAGTCAACAGTCTGACTGCCAGGATTCTAGCCAGCCACATCCTAAACATAACAACATACTACAACTTATTAAAAAAACTTTTTAAACTGGTTAAAACTTGGTGCACTCCCAGCACCTCTACCTGCTCTATAATTACCAATAAATTCCCTGCCTTGCTCCTGTGGGAGTGGAAAACAAATATTTGCTAGCTACAAAGCTGCCACACAACTATTGACAGTTTCAACCACCTAGCATTTGTACACGGGGTATACCAAAAGCCCTTATATTTTACACAGATGTGAAGGTGTTTCCAATCTCCTTCCTCCTGAAAAGCATCACTCAAAATCCTAGAGTACTTCACTGTTGTGAAGTAGGAGCACCTTTTTAATTACCTCCTTCATTTTTGTGTTACAATGCTACCTTTGCAATTTTGGTGCTAAAAATTTGTTTCTGTTATTTTAAATTTGAAACATTTGTTGCAACATCTAGCAAGCATACCAGGATGAGATAAAGCTTGATCATTTAAACATTCTTAAGTATCTAGCTTACATCCACACAAAACCCAAGCAATTACTCAAACTGAAGTTTAAGCAGTGTTCATTGTCACAGCAAACAACCTGTAGTCACCTGAAGTTATCACCAACATCTAATCTTTGTTAAATCCATTTATTTTTATGTCTTAAAAAAAGGCAACAAAAAGAAACATTGAACTCAGCTGAAGGCTTGGCACACACCCTAGACCAACATAATTAGTTCTTTGACTCCTTTACACAGCCACAGAGGGATGGCCTATCTTCACAGATGGATTTGGTGATAGTAGGTGCTCTCACAAAGCACAGACCAAACAAAAAGGTTTGGGGATTCATTCCAAGGTCCGAGACTACACCTAGTAAAAACGGAGTGTGAAATCCAAGACAGACATGTTGGAACTTGGGCACCAGCACTGAGCAAAATTACAAGAAGCTAACAATCTTTTCAATTATCTTCTTTCTAGAACAATTTATTCTGACAGAAGGCAGAAAGATTCTTTATCACAATGGTAAAGCCCTCACCTACTTCAATTTCACTCAAATGCAGACATTCTCATTCTTACATAGACTTTCCTGATAATGATAAACAAAATAAAACACCCAGGTACTGGCTCACTTGCTAGTTTTGGCTATATCTCAAGTTCCATACTTGACACAAGCACTCCTCTATCTGGCACCATGCTCCTCTATGCTCTCATTTTTTTGTTTTTCTCTCTACCTTTTCCTGAGCAAAGACTGATATAACTAAAAAAGCTCTATCTGATGTGACTTGAAAGGCAATTACAAGTAAACACACAGTCTTAGAGCATCTCTTAGAAGCTGCTGCTATGTGCTGTGATTGTATTAGTCTGGCAGAGCAGACAAATATGCTTCTCATCCTCAAGACAACTCCAGCAACCAAGTGTAGCAATTAATCTTTCATTGTTAAGTAAACAAAATAGGACATGCTGCTTAACCACACCAAAACAAGATAGCCAAAATGAAGGCAAAGGGTTAATTGTTTACCATAAAGTTCTCTGCACCTGAAAGGGAAGAACAGAAAGGAAAACAAATACTGTTTTTAACAAAAAGCTCTATAGGCTCTTCTCTATCTTTAATAGAAGGCTACTGACATTTAAGGATGGTTGCTTTAGAATTATAACTGCTTGAGGGTTAAGTACTTAAAAACTCCATGTCATTTCATTGTCAGACACTGAAAAAAAAAAAAATCTTTAACATACAGGCCCACTTATTTGTCCAAAATCAATGCAAAAACAGAGTTAGAGGTTGGTTTAAAGTGTGAACAAAATCACTATGTTAACTGCTGCATTTACAACCTCTAAGCAAGTCCAACTTAAGTAAGGACAGTGGCTGGCATATGCTGCCACGAGTAAGTACAAAGGGAAGCAGTGGTACCCTCTCTGACCCACTAGGACTATTTTCTTTTTTCCTCTTCAACTTCTTAAAGATGTGCAAGAAATTTTTAAGGAAACTTACTATTTCATATAAATATACTTCAACTACTGTCAGGAAACCTAGAGATTATGCTTAGAACTGTATGGAATCAAACTCTAAGATATGGCCCAGAGCACAATGCAGAACAGCACAAGAAGGGTTATTGATTTCAGGCATACTCTGTAAAATCAAAACTGTCACTTTCTATAGCTGCAAGAGAGAAGCAGCTGCCAAATTAACAATGAGTTGCAGTGTTAAAGGAAAAACTTAGTTCATCAAAAAAGTCTGAAGGGGCACATTTTCAAGTATAGAAACTTCATTCTCTCAGAGATAAGAAGAGGATTAACTTGGTGAAAGCATTATACCTCTGGCTTGCTGTCCACAACATCTACTTCAATATTGACTTCTGCCTGTAGGATTTTCTGCTTTGTTTGTTCAACAGACAGACTCAATTTGTTGATGTAAGACTGAAGTTCTTCTGCAGAGTCCATGTTCAGCTCGACCAAAGCTTTGTGGAATTGATCCATTTGACCATCTTCTAAAAGTTCCTACAGACAGATCTGAGTTAGCTGTGGTGAACAATAGAGAGTAATAACTATTTTTCAGTTGTGTGCATATAGACACTTTGCCTTTATTACTAAATATTATGATGTGCACGCTTCAGCAGCATTCAAAATATTTCACAAAAGTATTGTTCAGAATCTAAAAGCATCCTCTGCATCAATAATCTCTCCCTTTTATCTTGCAAGTAACCTTAAAAAACTCCTATCAGAAAACACACAGGACAGTTGTAGCCTCTTTACAGTGATGCATGACCCTCTGATAAAGATCCAGGAGCAGCCTGCCCTCCTCCCAGAAGATCACACAGAAAACTTTTCCTTGATTACCTGTACGTATAGTAACCTGTCCAGCCTCTCTTGGTCAAGTTGCAGCTTCTCTTCTCGGCGACGTGCATTGAGTTCTTGAAGTCGACGTAATTGCTGCTGCCGTCTCTCCTGCTTTTCCTCTGATGTCAGAGTGCTCCCCAGCAGTTTGTTAGAGAAAGGCAGCTGCATCTTGTGCATGTTGTTCTCATAGTACTCTGGGGACCGCCACTTGTGTAGCTCTGAATGTTTTGAAAGCAAAATAACTGTTATGCCAGACAGAAAACACTGATTCGCATGTTGTACGCAATCCATGCTACGTTCAGACTGAGAAGAAAGATGACAAGAGTCTAGCCTGGGATTCTGTCACTTCTTGGCAGCTGTCCCCATATTTAGCTACCCTCTCATAGCACCAGCTTCCAGTCTCATACGTGGTGCACATGGTTCTTTGTGCTCTGATCTCCAGCACGCAAGAAACACAAAGTACTAAGCAGTGGGAAGTGCACACAAATGTCTCTTCTCTCTTCCCAAGGTAAGAGGGAGTTCTCACACATCACAGGAGTCCTGCAGGCCCTTTTGTGAGGGACAAATTTAAGAAAATACCTTTTCTTTGGCCACTACTTAAGATAACATTCCCCATGGGAGTTTTAACTTCTTTAATTCACAAAAAGTCATGAGAAGTGTCCTCTGAAATTCTGGAAACCTTAAAGCACGTAAGAAACATGGCCAGATGCATATAATCATCCTAACCAATTTAATGTTTTGTTGGCAGTATAAAGTAAACAATAAATTCATTTAAAATTCTTTTCCTCTGAAATAACCCCAACTTTTATTCACAGAGAAATCTGCATTAATACAGATTTTATTTTTGTAATTTAATTTTGTTTCTATCTTAATGTTAAATTTAAAACTGTTCTCAAGCATTTCCCATGGATTACAGAAAGACAGCTATAAAGAAAGCAAAAGAAAGAGTATCTCTGCCAGAATCCCAGCCAACTTGAGAACACGGGATATAGAGGACAAAACTAAATTCGGATGAGGATGAACGCTATCTAGTGGTAAATTACAGCTGGTTCTACCTTCTATATAATCCTCTGCAATGTAGCTATGCTCGTGCAGTATTTCCTCCATGCGACTGAGAGTGATGGCAGCAAAATGTCCTGGGTATTTCAGCTGAAGGAGGCGTTGGAGATACACAGCTGCTTGACACCCTCCAAGATTAATACGTTTGCAGTTTTTAGCATCCAATCTGAAAATGCAAAGAGACACAACCGAGATTGGAGAGATCCACAAGTTCAGAGTAAAACAGACCTACTTTCCACAGTATTATTTAATTTCTGAGATGGTCAAATAGACAGATGAATATTCACAGATAAATATTTAAAGACTCAGTTACCAGAGAATCTAACACACTGCCTCTTCTCCAACAACAAGCATAATCGCTACTTCGTTTACTGCAGATACTTTCTGAAAGACTCTGTTCTGCTTTAAGAAAACCAAGCTTTAAATAATTTTGGCTACAGTAAGAAAATGTTTTATTTCAGGAAAGGAAGTGATGGTTAGTGAGCTAGAAGTAGTTCCTTAACCTTTGTAACATTTCACAGTAGGCCAAGTGCAACCCTTGAAAATTTGAAGCATCTACCAGATATAATAAAGCCATTTCCTGCAGGATTTAAAAAAAAAAAAAAAAAGAGTAGAGCAACATAGCAGCATAATCAGAATGGTAAAAGCCTCAGGAACTGCAGAAATCTCACAGAGTGCTTTCTTTTGTCCCAAAGCTCCTTTAAAACCTATGGTTTTTAATGCCAGATCTTACTTGGGGCAAATATCCCCTTCTACTTTTGAAAATACAGATCTATGCATGAATAGTAACTAAAAATACAGGATGTACAAGGACAGCACTGCTTCTTCAATTCAAAGTTCAACAGAACTTAGCAAACTCTGCAGACCTAGTTTTAACTTGTCAGTATAAATTAAGACCTGATACTGCAGGAGCTGGAATACTGAACGCTAGAGGAATGCGTATTTGCATCGTTAAGAAGTCAAAGCCTGACAAAGAGAGGCTGCACCAAACTTCCCACACCAGGAACTCACCTGCCTTCCAAGACTGGCAAAATGTGAGTACACTGATAACCTGAAGATATTACCAAACCACTGCAGGGCCAGGTCTGCCTTCTGTTGTGGTAAAAACTGTACAAGCTATCTACACCATAGGACACTTTTGGCACTTGATAACATTCAAAGAGGAGCTCTGACATCATTTGTCTCGAATACAGAGGATTGCACACAGCTTCTGTCAAAACAATTGGATGATCAACACAACCCTGTAAGAGACAAGAGAAAAGAAATATAATAAAAGGATGAAGGGTAAATCCAGGGATACTTATCCTTGCTTTTTCTTTTGAACATCAGCAAGAACTCCTCCAAAACAGCAATGAGAAGGCACTTTATGTGCAGGCTATAATCTCATAAATTAAATTATAGCTACTGCTTAAGGGGGTAAAAAGAAGTCCTGTCTACAGCAGAGCTTCCAACGTTAATTCAACCAAACTCCCAAGGGTGGAGGAGAACGGATTTTTAAAAGCATATACTAAATACTAAAAATCTTAGTAACCAAAATCTATGCCATGAAGAGGTGAAGTAAGAGTGAAAACTGCTGGAAGTTTAGTTCAGCATCAGGTAAAGCTTTCAAACTGGTGTTGTCACACAGGCAAAAAAGGCTTCATGGTCTGAGAAGCAACTCTCAACTCAGCTGGGTATACAAAACAAGAAGCACTACTACTAAGAGCACTATACGAAACTAATAAATATTTAATGGCTTTCTCAAAACTGATCCTGGGTTCTGGCGCTCAGCCGCAGCCTGAAAAGATGCTGCAGTCCAAATCCCTCGCACTTCCCTTTCACCACAAAACTATAAAGAAATTAAGAGAATAGTGAGGTTGAAAAGACACCCCTGGGGCGCACCCAGCCCGGCCAGGGTCCCCACCGCATGCTACAGAGGGCTCGTCCCCCAGGCCGAGGGGCACAACCCAACGCCCCAGCACAACCCAGGGCGATGCTGGACCGCCCGTTCCCACGACGCACCCAGGCACAACCCCCGCGCAAGCCCCCCTCAAGGCCCGGGCCTGCTTTTCCCGGCGGGTTCAGGGCCCGGCGCATCCCCCCCTCCGCAGCTCCCCGCCCGCGGGACCTGCGAGGCGACGCCGAGGCGCTGGAAGACGTGGTCGAGGAGCAGCTCCTGCAGCTCCAGCTGGACGGGCACGTTGCGGTCGAAGGGCGAGCGGAGCAGCCAGCGC